CCTTCTGGGTATTTTCCCAGAAGATCTAAAAACATCATATCACAGCGATATATGTGCAACTTATGTTCTTAGCAGCACAATTTGTAATTGCTAAATTGTGGAAGCAACCCAAATGTCCATCCACCGAGTATTGGATAAGAAAATTGTGGTACTTTTCTATAATGGAATATTACTCAGGTATAAAGAAAGATAAACTTGAGGCTTTTATAGGTAAATGTTCACAACTAGAGACCATACTCATAAGTGAAATAAATCAGACCTGCATGTGCAAGCACCACACTGTCTCACTAGTGTAAAACCTGAAAGAGTTCATATAAACTCAGAGGTATGATAGACATTGTGAAATGATAGGAAAACGCTCAAGGGTAAAAGGAAACTGGCATGTGGGAAAAGAGAAGGGAAAGAAGGAGAAATTCTGTATGTATGTATATACAGGATAGTTAATATAGTTGGTCTACTGTCTTGTACTTCTTTCTTGAAAGAAAGTGTTAATGAGTTCTTGATTGATCAATATTGCATGTCTCTATTTGTTTTCCTGAGAAACCACCTTGAAGATATCAATATGTAATACAACAAGCATTGTTAATTTCCTACCACTTTGTTTGTAACTCTGTATAGTCAGTACTGTTCTTTTGCTGTTTTGTAAAAGGTTGTCTGTCTGTTAAGGTTTTCCTCTTTTTATTTTTAAAAGAACAAATAAAAAGAAAAAAAAAAAAGAAAGAAAGACAATACTTCACTTATACTAATATGAGTACCTTTTTCAGGACCACTTCGATTAGTTTTTACTGAAGTCCTTGAAGGGAATGCAGACGAATCATGATTCTGGGGTGGAGGAGCAAACAACGGAGGAATTCCCAGTAATGGTGGAAAGAAGGGCGCTCCGCTACGGGTATGAACATCTGTTGTTCGCCACCATTCTGCACCTCAAAACCAAACAAACCAACCGAACAATAACATTTCAATTAGCTTTTTAGTTAATGTAACAACTAATTTCTGTATTTTATTCCTGAAAAAAATATTTCAAATTTCTAGTTGGAATAGAATTTCTTAGATGACATAGTTGTGATCATCTTTTTAACTATAATCATCTAATTAGAACTTGTACACATTCATCACTCTACTCATTAGGCCAGTATTCAAGGATCTTCACTTAGCAGTTTTCTAGACCGAAGCTAAAAAGAATCAAGGTACTTTGTAATTTTAAAAATAAAACTGAGTAGGGGCTGGGGATTTAGCTCAGTGGCAAAGCGCCTGCCTGGCAAGCGCAAGGTTGTGAGTTAGATTCCTGGTACCGAAAGAAAAACCAAAAAAATTAAATAAATAAAACTGAAAAGTTGGAATATTAAAGAATTATTTAACTCTTTGATGACCTTTAACATAGTTTTTCTAAATTAGTAAAGAAATATTTTAGACTATATTAATCTATTTTAAAATCTTAGAATTTAAACTTAACTTACATTAAGAATTTTTTCAAATTATATAGAATATGAATCTGGCCCTGATAAATCAGGTGGTCTAATATTATCAGAGTATGGTAATCCACTATACCTCAAATGTATTTATAGAAGAAAATATTCTATAGTCAGATAAAAATATAAATAAATAGCAGAATTAATAACTCTTTCTAAGGAGTTGTTAAAGATTTCAAAGACAATTTTGCACTACAAGATAAAGATTTATAAAGCTTCTGTCCTAACAATTAATGAAAAAACCCTTGCATTTTGTTTATGCTCCTGCTTATAAATGACAGTGGCAATGGCTGCTTAATCAACATAAAATAATTAAATGGTAGAAAGTTATGGGAATATAATTTAGATATTCAAACAGCAGGTCTTAGTTAAAATTTTTAGTATAGAAAGCCAAATTTTATACAACACAGTTTCAAAGAAAGGGTGAGGATTAAGAGTCTGAAAAGCATCCAAGGGGAAGTCTTGTATTGCCTCATATGAAATCTCAGAAATAATCTCCAATTCATTAATCCACTGGATTACAAAATCAGTTATTACAGCATCTTTCAGGCTGCTCTTCTAAATAATATGGTATATTTCTATTTGATCATAACAGCCACAAGAAAATTAGATTTTAAAAACTACAGCATGTAAAAACTCAGTATTATAACTATATTATATCACATTTTTATAAATTTTCTAGAAATAACTCTTCAATTAAAATACAATGTAAAGTTATGAGGCCTTTCATTATCTAACAGTGAAATCTCATTTTTAAGAAAGTGAAATGTTTGTGGTAGCTGCCTTTCTCAGAGGTCTAAACTGCAAATGTTATCCCGGATTGCAGGAAGGTTTTTGTAGTGAAATGACACTCATATATATCTATGCCTGAATGGTGAGAACTTGGCCAAGAATAGCTATCTAAAAATTGTTCACCCACTTTAGATGAAAGAAGTACCTTTAGATAGGAAGAACGGCTGTATATTCTGAGCTTGTATCCACACAGTAGATTGCTATTGTTATGTATGGCTTTGAAAACTAGCTTCTGCCTGTCTGATAAAAAGGGACTGAAGTTTCCCAAAAATAATCATATCACTTAATACAGTGTAAATAAAGTTTTAAAGATGAACGTATAAATTTTGTATCAAACAACAACTTGGTAAGACAACCAAATATAGTGATTCAAGTATTTTAGAAATAAACTGGGGCCGGGATATAGCTCAGTGGCTTAAGCACCTGCCTGGCAAGCACAAGGTCCTGAGTTCAATTCCCGGTACCAAAAAACAAAACAAAACAAAACAAAAACTATGACAATGTTCTTCAGAATATGGATGGTAAATAAGTTCACAGTATGAATTGGGGAAAATAATAGGAAAATATGTGTTATAAATGAGGTGACTTTGAGGAAAACATTGGTAAATAAGATCAATTAAATAAAAAGATAAAAATGGTAGAGCGTCTCATAAACTTTACAAATGTCTAAAACTGTTTTGTAGGAAACAATATAATTTTTCTGATAAGTTTACTTATCTTCCAAATTTATGAAAATAAAAAAACAAAACTTAGTCACTCACTAATTAGCTTATTGATAAAATGAAAAAGACAAAAAAATACATAAATCAGCACATGATGAGTTTCAAAGAGTATTCAAAAGAGGTAACACCATAATAGCAATATTAATCACTTTCTACTATAATAAATCTCAATTTGAATCTTAAAACATTCAGCAGAAGTTTGAAAGTGAAACAGCCAGATACTTCACAAATATTGTTCTTTAAAATTAAGATATAATGATCAAAATTATAAATATTTTAAAAGAAATATTTATCATAAAATATTGTTTTAACATTAAACAAAAATAATTTTATTATACTAATGTCCATGAAATAATTATATTTCTTGATTTAAACTAGCAAAAATACTGTAGAACTATTTGTTGAATGATTGGTTTATTTTGAGACAAGGTCTTCAATGTAACCTGGACTGGCCTCCAAATCACAGTCCTCTTGCCTCAGCTCCCCGAGGGGTGGGATTACAAGCATGTACCACATCATGCCAGCCAAAAAAATTTTAAATTGTTTCTTTAAAACTCCTACTATGTATTCATTGTGTCTTTCTTCCATTTACTTAGGGGGTGATTTTGAAAATTAACAACTTATCTTATAAATAATTGATATTTAAGTTACGTCAAATCTAAAACATGAACTGAATTCTCTGCAAGGCATAATCTGCCAATTTGGCAAAGATGTATGCTCATACAGGCATACTCTTTTCACTAAAGACTGTCTTGTAATTGTCTGTTTATCTCTTCTCTGGAAACTCTAAGCAACATAAACTATATTGGCACATTCCTCAATAACTGGCCTAGTACACATAATATGATAGATAAATGAGTGAATACTTAATGTAAGCTAGGGAAGTTATTAAACATTTTTATACAGTGTAAGTATTACCATTATGAAAATTCAGATGAGTAGCTTTTTATACTTGTTACCCAATTACAGTGTAGAAGGTATTTAGTTTTAATAATATAGTAGTTATATTGGGTTTAGAATTGCTCAAAGTATTATAATAAATCATGTTAAAACAATAAAATATTTAATATATCATAAATATATATATATTTTTTAATTTTTATTCAGCAATCTTCTATTCATGAAATATATGTTCAGTGGTTATCTTGCTAAGCAACCATGCTAGCCATGGAGTCAGTTCCTATTAATATTTTTAAAGGCAATGCTAAATCTTAGTTTAAGACATCATTTGTCTACTCATATTGCTCATCCCCATCATCCTTTTTCCCAGACAAGTATGTTAGAAGAATAACTCAAGAAATACTGTATTACTTGAAATATGTGTTTAATTATCTATCTTTTCTATATATAATTTAAGCAAGATAGTTGTTTCCATTTAAAGAAGCACTTGAGAAATGATTAAACACTAAAGTGGGCAAGAGAAAATAATAATGACAGTAAACAATTTTAGAATAATTATGTATATCAAACTCTGTACATGGCACTGAACATGATTATGTTCTTTAATCTTTTTGAAAATCCTATAAGGTATTATTATTTTTCTCATTTTACAGGTGAGAAAACTGTGGCTCAGAGGTCAGATAAGATGTCCAAGGCCATAAACTATGAAACAGCAAAACCAGATTGAAATTCAAGTCTATAAGTCTTTGGAATTATGCTCTAATGTTTTAAACTATTTTGTATACATTAAAATATGTATCTTTTGCTATAACATATTAAAGTAAAATTAATCACTGAAAAATACATTTACATTAAGACATTCAAGATAATATAACAACAGAAATTAAGAGATGTTTGTCTCAGTTTAGCTTTAACCACTGTCTTAATAAGGTGTTGCCTCACAATCTGTTGAATTTCACCTAACACTGGTCCCTTTGCGACATAAGTGGTACCACTCTCCAGTTGTTTTGATCAAATATGGAAGAGTATTCAAATTTAAGAATCAAGCACATTGTCCCTACAAAGTGAATAAAAGAACCCCAAATAAAATATTCATTACAAGAACTGGATTTTAATTTTATACTATAATTTAAAAAATTATATAAAACAGAAAAATTCAAACTCTATGTTTGAAATATGTATACCTTTTGTACTATACTTAAATAAAATACATCAGAAAAACCTGATTTAATTATTCATTTCTGTGGCAAATCTTATTTATCAAACATCTGAATACCCAAGTAACTGCTATGCTATCTAACAGAGAATGTGATTTTTGCATGTGATAAATAAGTTTAGCCAATTCTTGCATAAGAGTTTAATATACCAGGCATTACACTGTTCTTTTTTGTTCAACTTAATAAACAAATTACTGCTTGAACATTTTCAAGCTTTCTTCCTTTCCTGAACACTGTTTGTAACAGATGTTTACCTGGAAAAGATGCTAGTTGGGGATGTGCGGCTAAGGCTGTGGGTGTACCAAGTGTCCCCAAACCACCAAATTCTGAATGCCCTGAGCTGGCTGAATGTAGACCAAAGACTGGGTGGCTGACCATTGGGAAGGCACTCGACACTGTGGACAGGTTAAACGGTTGATCCCCAGCCGCTCTGAATATATGTCCTGGGAGGGAAAAAAACACACTTAAAGTTGTGCTATAAAAACAGATGAGATTTCTTCGATTTCAGTTTTCATAGTTAAAATTTATAATAATTTCCTTAGCATTAAATTTTTGTTATACAACTTTTTTCTGCATTTCTACTCTTCAAACCCTATAGAATGACGTTTCTACAAACACCAAAATACTCTAAAATAATGAAAATAAAAGGTATAAGCTTACTTGCTTGATTTGGAGATTTGAGAAAATTGATGTTTTAAGCAAATATTTTTTATTAATTAAAATTGTTTGACCTGAGGAAGTAAGGCCAATTTTGTTAATATATGTATATTAATATAATATCAAATGTTTTTGCTCTTAAAAAAGGAAAATATAAACATTCCACTAATTTAAGGTTCAAAGCCAATGAAATAGGACTAAAATCTGTTACCATCTCATCATTCAAATTATCATACACCTTAGGCAACAAGATCTCAGTTTCCATTTACCAGAACTGAAGCTCTCTTTGTCTAACACCTTTTGGGGGAGAACATCTGGATACCAAAAAGGCAGTATAATGTAATTGAATAAAATAATACTCCAGACAACATAAACAAATAAATTTAGTATGGTAGTTCTAAATGCATTCATGGATGGTTATTGGTATATGTCATTTTTTTACCTTTCTGTTAGTAATGTAATATTCAGCTTGAATGAGTGTGCTTTTTCAGTCTACACTCTAGTTTAAAGAGAACTTAGCACTGAGTGTCATAATACCAGGTTGGAGTGTTATATGACCAAAAACACAACGTTTATTTTTCAAACTTTGTAAGGATTGGGGAGAAAATATTTTTAACACTTGGAATCCTTCCCTTTATTTCCAGAAAATAATTATAATTCCCTGGCTTCCCACTATGAATACAGAATATCAAACTTCATAATACAGAGTATTGCAAGAATTTATTGTATAAAGAGTACTAATGTACTCTGTGTTAAAATCAGAATAAGCTTTTTATTATCTCCTCTTTATATCAGCCCTGTATATACAATTTAATTATTTTAAACAGTATGTTTGAAATAAATAAAAGAAAGTTAAGTTCAAAATGAGTATACTTTTTGTTATCATGTAATTACCAACCAAATCTCTCCTCTTTGCATTTTTGCTCTCTCAAAACCAAGGGATAGGGGGCTGGGGGTTTAGCTCAGCGGCAAAAGCGTCTGCCTGGCACGCGCAAGGTCGTGAGTTCGGTTCCCGGTACCGGAGAAAAACCAAAAAAAAAACAAAACAAAACAAAAAAAAACCAAGGGATAGTCTTAGAAAAGGTCAGAATATACCCTCTCGGAATGATATAGACCCTATTTTTTTTTTTAACTGAAATAATGCTATACTCTTTGCTGAAATAAGAAAATTCACCTAACTTTTTCTTTTGTAGTGCTCCGGATCAAAACTAGGACCTCAAACATGTGAAGTAAGTACTCCACCATTGAGCTATGCCCATCCTGGAAAGTTTAAATAACTAATTAAGATTTGAATAGATTACAGTAAATATGTCTTATATCAGTCTATAAAGAAAAAGTTCTGATAGGCTAGTATTCCCAATATATAAAGTAATAACTAGATCTCACAGAGGCAATCCTCAAAGTGTCTTTACAAGCCCTGCCCTCCAAGAGACTCTGAGATAAAACAAGAATTCTTGAGTACACAAACTCAAATGTCTTCTCTAAGTCAATCTTTATTTTTGTTCTTCAAAGCCTAAATAAAAAATTGCGTGAATTTTTCAAAAAATAAAAAGAAAACTGTTGAAGAAAAGCATGAAGTTGTGCTTTTATTTTTCAGAGTTCTAGACTACATTAGCACTGAAGCAGAATTATAAAATAGGGAATTCTCCTGAGAAAATCACTATCTTTAAGAATAGTGACAGGACAATAGGAAGATTTTTCTTTTGTTCTGAATTTGTTTTGTTTTGGTTATTATGCAATTCTCAGAAACCTAGGAAGTTTCTCTAAAATAATGACTTTGTTGTTATTACATATAAAAATCTCTGGTTCTGGACAATCAGTTTAACCTCTGACACATATGTGCCTCATCAAATGTTTTATGTATTTATAAGCATACTATTGTCAATAATACAATATTTCCTTCTTTATTAATAGTCCTCATAAGGAAGATGATCTGAATGATCATACTAGCTTTGCAGAAATTATAATCACTTACCATTTGTTTTATAAAAAATTAGTCTCTTCTACCTTCCCATCACAAAATAATGATTCATAAATTATATTTATAAAATTATATGGACATAGCCATGATTTAATACACAGAAATTTATGGAATAAATTCAAACTATCAAAACTATATAATATATTATAAAAATTCAGAATAATTGAAACTGATAAAAATAGTTCTACAACAACTGGGTAATAAATAGCATTCTTTAGATAAATAATAAAAATATTAATTTCATTATTATGAAGAAACCAATGAACTAAACCTTATATTCTCATGGGTAGAAAATAATAGGCAATATCTAAATGAAGATATCACTCTTCCAGCAACAAATAAAAATCAACAGCTGGGCACAGTGTCACAGGCCTGTAATCTCAGCACTCTGGGAGGCTGAGATAGGAGGATGGCAAGTTTGAGACTAAGCTGGGCAACTTAATGACTTAGCGGTGCCCTGTCTCAAGACATACCTGCATACCATACATACTCAAATAAAGGGCTGGGGATGTAGTTCAGTGTGAAAGCCCTGGGTTTAATTCCACAGTACCACAAATGAAACATAATACATACTTTGATAAAAATAAAATTCTTTTTTAACTTTAAAAGTGACATTTTAGGTCTGAGGGTGAGGTGTGGCTCAGTGGCAAAGTAAGTTCAATCCCCAGCACCAAACAAATAAATGTGATGTTTAGGCACAATTGAGTAGGAAATGTCGTTTTTGGGAGCAAAAACATTTTATATACTAGTGTACATATATTAACAAAATCATCCTTAAGGTCAACTTTAATTGATAAAAATCATTTACTTAAAACATTAGTTCTCAAATCTCAAAATCAAAGTAAGTAAGGTTATAACTTTTGTTTTCATTATTGTCATCATTTTTGAGGAATGCCCATTTCTGGTGTCAGGAAGCACAGATGTAATTCTGTACATACCAGGCATGGATGTAATTCTATAGTTCTACAAATGTTTTTTCACTTGAAACTATGATGAATAAAGCATGTCCTTTGTTGAATAAGCATAGATACAATTCTGTGTAGAACTATATATAGAATTACATGAATGCCTGGTGATACCACAGAGAGAGGCATTCAACTCAAAGTTACTTTAGAGTGAAGGGAATTTTTTCATTAATAAACTGGTGATGGCTTATTAAGTCCTATAATCACATTTAAAACAAAGTATATTTTCTGAATTAATAAAAAAACAGAAAGATATATTTCTATATGACACAAAATATAACACAAGTTGAACAGGTTCTATGAACTTTATGACTATAAAAGTAAATTATCTGAATATTAGACTATTCTACTTTTTTCTTTTGGTTTTTTGAGACATGGTTTCACTATGTAGTACAGGTTGGCATTCAACTCAATATGTAGTCCATGCTATCCTCAAACTCATGGTGATCCTCCTGCCTCAACCTTCCAAGTATGAGGATTACAGGTATGCACCACCATGCCTTGCTAGAATACTCCACTTTTGGAGAAGTAAATTTTTCCTATGCTAATGTACCTAATGTCAGAAAATGCTCACAAATAAAACCTGTCTTAAATAATACTAAAGTTTTACTCAGAGAAAGAAACAAATGGAGAAGTCACATCATAAATGGTAGTATGTGACACTGCATACTTTTAAACAGATTAACATTCAAACATAATTTCCATAAAATGAACTATGTCATTGTAACAGAAAAGTAATAATGTACATTTTGCATAATAGAAATTTATACAGTCTTCAGCATCATTACAATACACTGCTTTTCAGCATATCTTTTCAAATGTACTATCTATATATATAGATTAAAACCAGTACACATATATCAGTGGATGAATATAATGCATGATAATTACAAATATTCTCATTAATATTAATGAATACTACAGATTTTCTTCCTTTATAAGAACAAAATACTGAACTAACACCTTAAACCTTAACACCAGTGATAAAAGTCCCCTATCTTTAAAGACAAGTCCAGAAATCACATTAAAACAAAATAATAAAGAATAAGTACATTATAGCATTGAATCTCTTAAAAAGAATTGAGAAGACTGCCTATTACAACTTGTTGCTTTTTTGTATGTGAAAAATACCTTTAATTTTTCAATGCTATGCAAACTTGTTGCAACATGTCTTCATGCTTCAGTGTCTAGCTCTTTAAAATTATAAGCATAATTTTATAGCATTGCAAAATCAGCTTTTAATATACACAGAACCTGCAAAGTATGGCTAATCTTCTCCAACCAGTGACAGTCCTGTCATGACTTTGGTACATTGAAGAGCATGTTGTAGTCAAATGTTTTATAGAATGTCCTTCAGTTTTGGTTGGTCTGGTACTTTCTAGTTATTAGAAGTTCATACATTTTGGGAATGATGCCCAGTATGTCCTTCTCAGAGCAAGATACCTGAGGCCCACGATGTTCTCATGTAGCAGTGGTGATGTTGGTTTTCATGACTTGGCTAAATTGGTGCCTGCCAGCACTCTCCACTGTAAAGATATCTGCATAATCTATCTGCATAATCTCTTCAAATAGTATCTTTTATCAGAAAACAGGCAGAGTTATTAAAAGCACCGGTAGCTTTGAGAACAAAAGCTGCCCCTTTATAGCATTAAACATAGTAAGATTTTGATTCAGTTTAGCAAATAATTTATCAATTTTTATCACTGTGCAATGTTTGTTCTTAACAGAATAATTCTTTGTGATAAGAGCATGAAGGATGCATTGGTTTGCTAGGTAATAAGTCTTACTGTCACTGGGTGATTTAGAACAACAGAATTTATTGTCTCCCAGTTCTACAAGGTAGAAATGTAAAATCAATGTGTTTGGTAAACCATTTTCCTTCTGAAGGTATAGGGTTTTCCCTGTATGTTGCATGTTTCTCTCCTAGTTTCTGTTAATCTTAGATATTCTTCCTATATCCTCATGTGTGTTTCTCTCTGTACATTTTTCTGTGTCCAAATTTCCCCTTTTTAGGAGGACACCAATCACATTAGATTAGGGCCCACCCAATGACTTTATTTTAATCTGAATACTCCAAATTCTAAAGTACCAGGGTTTAGGATTTCAATTTATGTTTTGGGGGGAGGACACAACCCATAACATTTTAAAAAGTATTGGTTCATTTTAAAAAGTATTTAATGCACTGCCTTACTTCAGTAATTTACTGTTAAAAACCTCAAATTACTCAAATTAAAACTACACATTTCTACTAATAGAAGTCAGGTAAAATAATGTCTGGTCTTGTCTTGTTTTGTCTTGTCTTGTTGAGACAGGATCTCACTATGTAATCCAGGCTGGCCTGGAACTTGTGGCAACCCTCCTGCCTCAGCCTCCCAAGTGCTGGGATTACAGGCATGTACCACCACACCTGACATTTCAAAAATAATTCTGAGACAGAAGAAAAGGGATGAACACTCCCAAAAAGGAACTTAAAATTTTTTTTCAGTCCTCTGTCTCTGTCAACTATGGCCCTAAATGCCTCTGGCTACTCAGAGACTTTGCTTTGTCTGTAGCAGCTCTGGTATAGGTCCTCCACCTCTTGTCCTCTCTGGATAATTGTCCCTCTGCAGCCACTTCAGATTTACCCACTTCAGTCCACAATGAGCATTCGACCACGACGAAGCAGAAAGTCTTCATGTAGTTGGGAAAACACTCTGCACATGTGTGAGCCTGCCATTTTGTCTATATAATCAGCTTTCCTTTCACTTTTATCAGATCAATCCATGTACTGCTTGCCGTTATACTGTAGCATAAGACCTAAGTAAAGGCTCCTTCAGATGGATTTATTTTGCTATTCATGATTTCTATCTTGAGTAGAGCAAAATCAGCTGGTTGCAATAAGGACTGGTAACATGAAAGGGTACTGGCACTGAAACCAGCCAGCAGCTGGTAATGACAACACTAAGTGCACTAGTAGCCAGAGAGTCACAGGGCAACGGAGAGCTGCTGGGAACTACTAGATAGGCTCTGCTCCAGAGAGCGATGGGTAGTTGTGGCTCTAGCTTGCAGGAAAGCAGCAAGAAGAGTTGTAATACCAAGAGCTGAGGAGAGCTGTACTTTGTCTACTCATAATTTCTTTCTGAATTGCTCGAAAGAACGCTTGGCTGACTGGTAACAGTGTCTTGTCAAGCATCTCATTACGTAAACTCCACTAAAGAAAAGTGAGATAGCTGAAAATTTGAGAGCCTTCGTTTAGGATTTATATATATCTACAGCATTGATATATCAACTAAAAAGGAAAATAATGTTATAATAGCTCATACTGTAATAGAAATAATCAAGGAAACTTTGGCTTTATCTAAAAAGTCTCAAGAGAAAGTCTTTCATTCTCTTGATTCTCTACTCACTATAAATTTAATATCTGGTTATCATAAATAAGTCCTAATTAAATTCTAAAATTTGACTTTCTTTTTCTTAAATACAATGCATCTTTAGTAATATAAACTGATTTTTATGACTTTTATCATTCCTTACTCTGCAGCCTATAAATAATGCTGATCCTAACTAAAATCTGTATAGTCACCTTATATTACCAAAACAGTACACAAATTTATGTTCTTTTCATTGAGTGATTATATTTTTATGTATACTACATTACTTGAAATAAATATCAGAGTATTTTTGTCTGTGTGCTGTGGGGAATGGCTGCTGTGGTTGAGCTAGAGGAAGGCAGACTCCTTGGGACTATAGCAAGGCCAGTCCAGCAGGTGTCTGGTCTTGGTATTCCTCTCTGTTAACTACAGCACAGATAGCTCTGAGAATGTTAAGTTTTCAGTGTTAAAAGCAAAATACTGAGACCTTGCACTTTTGGTCCTGTCATGTGCTCCCCCTCCTACCCTGTATAAATAAAGATGCAGACTGTTCTGGTTGTACATCTAGTATTTTCTTAATCTCCCATCACCCCCTCTCAGGACCCCGCTGTCTGTGCAGGTCATGGCAGTGTTTTCATCTTTCTTCTTCATGGTGCATGATGTCATCTGAGATTTTCAGTACAAAGAAACTAAACTGACAAAATAAAAGCAGATTATTCTGCCATTTTTTAAGATCTCCGAGTTACATATCATACCAAAAGCTAATCACTCTATATTTATTCAAGCAGTCTGTGAGAACCACAATAATTTTCCCAGTTATATTATCATTAATGATTCCATCTTGCCAATGTAACCGTGCATCACTCTGGATGATAACTTCAGAGTACTGCATAATAAGAATGTGGTGTTTGTCTATTTTTGGTATTGTCATAGCTCTTGAGAGCATCAGCTGAAACATTTATGTACACCATTATAGTGGCATAAAGAATGGCAAAAGTGCCGGAAAACTTGCCAGTCTGGTTGACATATTAACCAACAACACAAACTGGTGAGAGTTCCAAAAACAAAAGACCAATTCAGTCTATTTCACTGGCATGGTATCTGCCAACCAAGTACATTTCCAATTTATACTAAATTTGAGTTGTTATAGTCTTGAATGTTGGTAGTTCTCCAAAATGCATATATTAGAACCTAATCTCTTAATGCGATAGTATTAAAAGGTAGGGTAGCTGGTCAAGGTGCTGCATTCCTGTAATCTCAGAACTCAGGAGGCTGAGACATAGGATCACTGCAATTTTGCGGTCAACCTGGGCTACACAGTGAATTGAAAACCAGCTTGCACTACAAATTGAGACCCTGTCTCAAAAACATCCAAACAAAACAAGAAGTAGTAGGGGGTTTGAGAAGTGATTAAGTCATAAGAGCTCTGCCCTCAGGAACAGGATATAAGAACCTTCATAAGGAGGTTGAAGGGATTTTTTGTATTCCTTTCCACCATGTGAGGATATAGAAAGAAGGTTCTGTTTTTGAAAATAAAATAACCCCTCAGCAGTACAGTTTTGACATGTTTTGTCACCTAAAAGTTCATGTGGTGAAAGTTAAGAACTGGAACCGAATGTAAAATGATCAGGTCAAATGAACCTCAGAAAAGGATAATAAATTCACATAGATAATCAGTGTTCAAAACAAGATTCAATTGCTGAGCCTTCTGACAGCAAAGTCCTTACTTTTAATCATCAGATTATCCTGCATAAATACCAAAGTATGGTATGTTCAGTTCGAAATAATCTGATCTCGATTTGTCCTCCAGCTTATCCTCTTCCCTGTTCATCTGCATCAGCTCTACATATCACACATCATCAATCTATTATTTTCTTCTTCCCTTACCAATAACCCCTATTTTATTTTGGATGGAAATATATTCAGATAAAAACCATTCTTTCCAGCATTCCCTGAAGCTGAGATTATCACTTATGAGTTTTGATGAAAAAGATATAAGTAGAAAACTCTGGGTAGAGTTTCTGGGAAAAACCTCTAAAAGGAGTCAAGAGTCCAAGCTGTTATGCAAATTTTGCTTATTATCCCTACCTTCCTTTCTTCTCGGAAGAAAGTGCTCTGTATAGATCAATCCTCTTGTAGTCCTGAGATACATATGTGAGCATGAAAATCCCACACTTCGGAAGACAGAATGTACAATTAGAAGGAACCTAAAGGTCTGTTATGACATTTCCCACTTCAGGATTGCTTATGTTGCTTGATGTGTTTATTTGCCACATTTTGATTTATCTTTCTTATTCATAGTGAATCACTGTCATAACTAACACATACCCTCTATTGGAGACTTGCTGATCAACTTGCAATTTATTTAATATACTGGGACTTGGCATATGTTTGTAGAGGCCTGAAACTAAGATACATATGCAAATCACTCTCTAATTTTTAAAAGAAAAGCAAGCCTAGTCCAGCTTAAAGTAAAATAGCATTTAAAAAGTTTATTAGCTTTTTATATTTTGCTTTTGCATAAGCCTTTGTTTAAAGAGATCTACCTCAAAAATGGTTTGAAAACAACTGGTCTGTGATAGTTTATCATTCAAGTTTCTCAGAGATATTTTTTTGTATTAGGTCAAATAACCAAAAACTTCAAGCAAATGTACTCTTTAAAGTTTGTGAGATAATGCTGGTATTTCTTTCTTTCAGCTTTCACATGGAGCCAGTATGTGGAAAAGCATCTAAATACCCTAGAATCTGGCATGGAAGGAAAGTGAACACCATTTGCCATTTCATACAAAGGCTTCAGTGGCACATTCCCTACATCACTCTGGACTAGAAAAAGTTTGGTTTTTTTTCCCTGAGGATCTACTGTATTTACTAGCACTAGGGTAATGTCAACCATATAACCTTTTATGTTTTCCTTTTCTTCTTAGGAGCTAGTTAATTTTGTCATTCAATATCTGTGGCTTCCTCAGCTAAAATTGTTTTATTTCCTAGAGCCCATCTTATAATGTTTAATTACTTTTATCATGCCTCTACATTTGGTGAAAGCTGTCCCAAATTATTTTTAGAAGTAAGAAGCTTATTTTTAAAAAGTCATTCCTTAAGAGTAAAGAAATATTACTCTGGGCAAAAAGACTAAGAAAGACCATATATGCACATAATCTTAATCAATCTTAGTGCAGTGCTATTTTTTTGAAATTTTAGTCACTGTAACAAAACTAAAGGGGTGTGGTGAAAGGTAATTTTCCAAGAGTCTGTGCATGTTACTCTGTGCATGTTGCTGGATCCCAAGAATTGCAAGGCTTTGAACTCTCTAACTGGACTACTTCTCAGGGATGCTTTTACAGCAGGCAACCTTAAAGGATGAGGTAACTTCTTCCCCCAAAGAGTGAGCTTGCCTTCATTTATGTTAAAAGCAATAGATTCATTGAGCTCAGAGTTCCTCTGCCATGAAGCAAACTCACTGCATCACTGGATACACATTCCCTACATGGGACTAGGACATATAGAACCAAAGCCAACGTCCTCTGCTCATGATCTTGGCTCTTCCATTAGCAACAAAAGCTCTGATCCGGGAGTCTTATGTCTCCTGCCAGCAATAGGCTAACTTCTAAGTAGGTATAGTCTCAAATCTTGACAAGGTATTATATTTAACACAAAAGGATTGATCATGTAAAGTTTGAAAGCAAGCTTAAATTACATCCTTTATGGCTTAGACAAATTTCTACAGGCAGCCATATCATTAGTAAAGATAAATAAATAACTCCTCTAAATAAAATAACTTTAAAATAACAGAACAAACTCAAAGGCCCCATGGAAGAACTGTTGAGATCTTGGCATTATAAAGATAAAAACTGTTATTTCTATACACCAAAAAGCTGAGATCAAATTGTTTAAGATAGACATGTTGGCCCATTATCATTCTATGACTTTATTTTAAAATGGACAGAAATCACAGAAAATACAGGCCAAAAACAATGAATCAAATAAGGCTGGAAATAATATGCTGAGCTATACAGGGCAACTGACCATTTTCCTAAGTAGCCAACCTGTTAGAAGGGAACAGAGGCTTTATTTTAAACATGAAACACAACAAACTCTAAAAGTTTAAAATAAAAAAATTTTCTTAACTAGAAATTTAAAAATGTTCATGTTTTAGGTACTTAAATGTGTTAATAAATTATACACTTATGAATAAACAAATAGATATATTCAATTTAAGCATCTCAATAGAAAACCTCAAAATCCCATTAAATAGCAAATAAATGATTTTTTAAAAACTACTCCCTTTTTAGACAAGATTTCTGATGTTACTCAGTAAGCCAACATACCCTACCTCTTTGGTAACCCCCAACCATTACTAACAAAGTATAGTGCCAAAGTAAAAGTAATTAGAATTATAGGTTCATCCAACATCATTAATTCAGAAAAATGAGGAAAAGGTGTCCTGAAATCTCAAGGTTCTACACTCAAGGATGCTACTAAAATCTTCAACGTTAAAAGGCAAAAGACATTCTTGCAGAATCACTACATATGTTAAAGGCTGATTCAGAAACAAATACAAAGTCAGACAGCAGATTAGAATAACACATTTAAAGAAAGAATTACAAAAAACAGGAAATAATAATTACAAAAGTACAACTGTGTGAGTCATTTTGGAAGAGGAAACTAAAAAGCCAATTGCAGAATCACTGCTTTGAGCACAGCATGTCAGCAATGGACCTTAAGAGTCTAGCTACTGTTTTATGTAAAAGCAAAATGTAGACAAAGTTGTTAAATTACTTGATGAGGATTGTATAGGGTACAAGAAAAGATGAATTATTATTGATTTTAAATATATATGCTATTTCAGTTAATTTTTCATCACCAAGAACACCTTAGAAAATCATTCTATGGGGGCTGGGGATTTAGCTCAGCGGCAAAAGCGCCTGCCTGGCAAGCGCAAGGTCGTGAGTTCGGTTCCCGGTACCGGAGAAAAACCAA